TAAAAAATATCCCAATGTTCTCCTTTCCACAACTTTCAGAATTTATTTTAAGTAAAATAAACAGTTCTACTGTTTATTAGTCCAATGGTGGATTTTGAGCTATTTTGTTCACTTATGACAAAGCATTTTTGAACAAAGTATTTAGTTTCATCTATAAATCTTGTTTATTGAAAAAAGTGTAAGATTATATACATGACAGGCAAAAATGCATATGAATTGTTAGATCTCCAGAAGGTTCATTCAGTCAAGCAGTCTCTTGATGTGAATTGACTAGCTAGATGTCTTCAGAAAGTTCACAGAAAAGGCAGAGTAGAGGTATCTTTTCAAGCTAAGAACAATAACTTCTTCTGAATAACCTATTAATAGCAATTAACATAAGGAATAATTTAAATAATATTTTAATAAGTGACTATTCTTTGGCAAATACTATTGGAAATGTATTTAAAACTTTCATTGAGTGAGAAAGGCACAATATATGCTGCTGTAATTTATTTTAAAACATGTGGGATTACGTCTATATATTTTTTATCAGGATGCCCATCTCTATTTGACTATAGAATCATCATTTTGATAGGTCTTGATGGGTCAGTGTGCAAACATTTTTTTTATTTTGAAGTGTGCATCCAGTCCTAGAATGGACAGCAAACAAAATCCCTATGCAGAGTATTGAAGCCAACAGTTCTTGAGGGAATCAAATCATGTGCTTCACATATGCATGCATGCACTCTGACTATATGTCACATATACATGATAATTTAAAAAGCCACTGCTACTATATACTGGTATCCTGATCTGGATATGTATGGGTGAAAATATGCACCAAGAAACTAGCACATTTAATTTCTGCCAATCTCTTTTTCTCTATTCAAAGAAAGTGCTCACAGCCCACAACATAAGAAAAACTTGGGTAAAACCTTTCACTTGTATCCATAGCATATGAAGAAGGAGGTTTCTAAAACTGAAGACCCATTTTTTAAGTGATAAAAGTAAATATTTATTCTAAGAAAGAGAATTCTTCATGTATTTCAACTGCACTGCAAAAGCTAATCCACAGGAGACAAGGCAGTTGTCTTTGCAATTCTAAACAGTGCAATTAAAAGTTACAATTTTCCATTAAGTAAATTTTATAATTGACTACATGTAAGGTTCCTTCCAGCATCTCTTCCCTAAAAACTTTCTTCTGTAATATGTAGCCATTCCAAAAGAAATTTTAAAAAATATTCAAAATAGGATTTTTAAAAAATTATTAATGAAATACCTTGTGCCCTAAAACTGTTGTTCAGCAATTTGCTACTCTGATTATTGTCATGTTTGCCTTTGTAAAACTAATGTGACAGTCCAATTGCAAGGTACGGATTTTGTGATTGTGCCTTATATAATTGTGCTGTTCTTCTAAAAGTGCCTCTGTGGTGATTGTGTTCATGAAATCCATTATGTTCATTTTCCTATTAAATATGTGTTATATATATTTTTATCTGGCAGCGTGAAGTTTTTTAAACTCACACTCAAAAGAATAAACATTATCACTTTCTTTTGCTTTGCTTTTGTACATTTATTTGTCTATGACAAATGATACAAGAATTTTTTTGGTCACTTGTCTCACTGGTGTTTTGCCAAAAGAGTTAAATATGAATATAGATATTTGAAAGTAGAACATGCATGTGTATGTAGAGATCTACCATTATATTTCCTGCTGCAAATATCTTCTTTCACATTTGTGAAGAAATGACTGAATTCACAGGTGTTGCCCAGTGGTGGGTTTCCAATTTTTTTACTACTGGTTCTGTAAGTTAGTTAGTTAGTTAGTTAGTTAGTTAGTTAGTTAGTTAGTTAGTTAATTATATTTATATACCACCCTTCTCCTGAGGGATTCAGGGTGGTGAACAGCCATGGTAAAAACAATATACAACAAAAATTAAAAGCTTATTAAAATAATTCAATCATTCGGCCAAATTTAAAACATCCAACTAAAATCATTTTAAAATCCTTATCAAAACCCAATTTAAAACCTTTATCCTGTCAGACCAGCTTGCTGGAATAATAGGGTCTTCAAAGCGCAACGGAAGGCACGGAGGTCGGGGATCCTTTGTATGTCCGGGGGCAGTTCATTCTATAGGGCCAGGGCCCCCACAGAGAAGGCTATCCCCCTGGGGGTCGCCAGCCTACACTGTTTGGCTGACGGCACCCTGAGGAGGCCCTCTCTGTGGGAGCGTATTGGTCGGTGGGAGGCAATCGGTGGCAGAATGCGGTCCTGTAGGTAACCAGGTCCTAAGCCGTGGAACGCTTTAAAGGTGGTCACCAACACCTTGAAGTGCACCCAGAAGACCACCAGGAGCCAGTGCACCTCGCGCAAGATGGGTGTTACGTGGGAGCGATGAGTCGCCATTATTACTCACGCAGCTGCATTCTGGACCAGCTGGAGCCTCCGGGTGCTCCTCAAGGGGAGCCCCATGTAGAGAGCATTACAATAGTCCAGCCGGGAAGTGACGAGGGTGTGACTGTGCGCCGGGCGTCTCGAACCAGGAAGGGATGCAACTGGGAGATCAGGCGAACCTGATAGAAAGCCCCCCTGGCCATGGCCGTAATATGATCCTCCAAGGACAGCCATGAATCCAGGAGGACGCCCAAGTTGCGAGCCCTCTCTGAGGGGGGTAAGATCTCATCCCCAATAGCCAGCAATGGTGTCAGCTGGCTATATTGGGCCGTCGGGAGCCACAGCCACTCAGTCTTGGAGGGGTTGAGTCTGAGCCTGTTCCTCCCCATCCAGATCTGCACGGCATCCAGGCAGTGAGACATCACGTCAAGGGCATCTTTGGGGTGGCCTGGGGTTGAAATGTACAACTGCATGTCATCGGCATACAGTTGACATTTCACCCCAAACCCACTGATGATCTCACCCAGCGGCTTCACATAAATGTTGACCAGAAGGGGCGAGAGGACTGACCCTTGTGGCACCCCACAAGTGAGGAACCTTGAGGTCGACCTCTGCCCCCCCAACACAAACTGCGTATGGTCAGAGGAAGGAGAACCACCATAGCACGGTGCCCCCCACTCCCACCCCCTCTAGCTGACGCAGCATGATACCATGATCGATGGTATCAAAAGCTGCTGAAAGATCTAGGAGGACCAGGACAGAGGAGCAACCCCTGTCCCAGGCCCTCCAGAGATCATCAACCAATGCGATAAATGCCGTTTCCATGCTGTAACCCGCCCTGAAGCCCGACTGGCATGGATCTAGATAGACAGCTTCATCCAGGAATTGTGGAAGTTGTCCCATCACCACACTTTCAACAACCTTCGCCGCGAAGCTGAGGTTGGAGACAGGATGATAGTTAGCTAATACAGCCGGGTCCAGGGAAGGCTTCTTGAGGAGGGGCCTCACCACCACCTCTTTCAGGGCAGATGGGAAGACACCCTCACTCAATGAGTAATCTCCTGAAACCAGCCTCTCCAGGCCAGCACCAACCAGGAGGGATACGGGTCCAGTAAACATGTGGTAGCGTTAAGCCTCCCCAAAATCCTGTCCACGTCCTCAGGAGTCACATGGTCATGAGTGTGGCTTGGTGGCATGGCATGGCTTGGTGGGCGTGGCAGGGGAAGTTTACTGCAAAATCCTCATTTCCTCCCGATCAGCTGGGACTTGGGAGGCAGAGAATAGATGGGGCGGGGCCAGTCAGACTTACTACTGGTTCTCCGAACTACTCAAAGTTTTCACTACCAGTTCTCCAGAACTGGTCAGAACCTGCTGAAACCCACCTCTGGTGTTGCCCTATGGACATAATTGCTTTTTTCATGGCTTATTGAATAAACCAGAATAGAGTAAAAAATATACTACATAAAGTTATAAGGTATAGTTTACAAACCATAGTAGATGGGATCACACATTTCATGTCAAACCAAACCAAACAAATCACACAAACTGAAAAAATAAAATACATAATTTGTGTGTGTATGTGTGTAACTGCTTAAACAATTGTGTAGTCTTTTTCCCCCACCTAAAAATATCCACAAAAACTTTCCTTCACAAACACAATCCTGGACATGCATTTATCAAATGAATATAAATATAAGATCTTCAACTGGGAAAATCAGGTTGCTAGAAATACAGAGGAAAGTGGAAAGTTATATTCTTGAGACACCAGAAATTTGTTTTTAACCCCATGAATGGCCAGAAAAATTGCATTCTTCTAAATGTCTTTTTATTCTACAGCAGCCAATGTTTATTTTTATTTTTCCAATTCTCTGATTAAAATCAATTAGTGTTTACTTTTTCACTTTAGTTATTTTTCCCTATTTTTTCTCTCTCTCTCTCTCTGTCCCTTCTACATCTTGTTTTACTGTTACTGTATTTTATTGTTCTTTTAAAATTGATTTTAATTCCTTATAGTGTTTCATTTCTGTCATTTTTATATGTATGTCTCTAGCTGGTAGTATGAGACTGATCATTTTCATCCAGGAATTCACTCTATTTAAATAAATAAATAAATCACTCTTATGTAATTTGTGCCAGCATAGTCCATTTGTACCAAAGATCTGGAAACATGCTGAGTGGTCTCCCTGCCAAAACTGGATATTTTCTCACCAAAAGTCTTTTCTGCCCTCATTCATGCACTTACATATTGTTCTATTTGTGTACTCTTTCTCCTATTTACTTCCATAGTTGTAATAGCAATGGGTGTTGCCATGGGTGAAATGAGCATCAACCCCCATTTCACCCATGGCAACAGTCCAAATCCTTTACACAAAATAAAAGGGAAAGTAATTCTGGAAACAAAATTGGACATATTATATCATGCCATGATGGGTCCTTGGCATTAGGACAAGCTTTTAACCTAGGTTACTGTATCGGGTGCAATATAATGAAGAATCCTGATAATATTCATAGTGTCATGATGCATTCAGTATCTTCATCTGCCATAATAACCACATGCATTAGAAATCCAGCTACAGACAAGATAGAGAGAATGCTTTCATTGTACATAGAACAAAGACAAGGAAGAAAACATATGTGAGTTGTTTACTGCCAAAGAATAAGGTTATAGAAATGTATGAGAATATTTGTAAATGTATTTGGATTACAGAATTTAACACCACAGCCCACAACTCCCTTTTTCACATTATGTATACAAGGTTTTATACAAGGTTTTGAGGGAATGTAATCCTAGCATAAAGCAAGCAAGTCCTTTTTGCAGCATTTACTTTTTTAAACAGAAGCATATGAAATTTAGCAGGCCCTTGACAGAATATGAAGGCAGTTTAACAAGCCACAGAGTACCTACCCATTCCCCACCTCTAGAGCTGAAGGATGTGTTGGCTGCATTTCTCCCTTAAACTCCAACAGCACAGAGTGCAGTTCAACACAACCAGAGGACATAAACTGGGAGAGTTGGAGTAAGCCTTCAACAGTAATTTTGTTCGTCCTTAGATTTTGGAAACGTGAAGATAAGTGAAAATTTTTCAAAGATTATGACAAGCTTGCTTTGTTCTCATTACAGTATATATTACACAGAAAGATATGATGAGAGGTCTTCATATCATGCCAACTTTTAAGCAGGAAGTCACTGAGGAAAGAAAAGAGAATCTTTTCTGCCTCCCTTTGTGTTTTAAAGGAAGATGAATTAAATTGGCTGGGATGTGTTAACCCAGGTGTTCCAAAGGGCATAAAAGATGGCTTTTTCAGAAACAACATTCATAGCATGAAAGAAATAAATGGAAAATTCTGGCTCAGATACATTATCGGGAAAGAATCCCCTTTTTGTAAGCAAAGAATCCAATTGTAGCCAATGAGGTGATGAAAGTAGACCATCCAAGAAAGCACAGCAGTCCAGGAACAGATGGCAAATTTCTCTCCCAAAATGTAATGGTAATTGGAAGTGCTGGAACCTCCTAGGATGAAACATATTACAGTAATTGTTAGAGCATGTCCATCTGAATAGCCTGAAGCTGCAGCATAGTACAGTTTTATCAGGAAGTTACCCTACCTCAATTCAGTGGTATTTAATTCTATGAAAACACATATTTAAATATACTTCTTTTTTTCAGAAAGTGCATAAGTGCAGTTGAGCACCTATTGTCCACTTCTGAACTGATGCCACCTAAAAAAGTTGGCTATCAATTCCTATGCTTGGTTTATTAATGCAAAACACTGATAAAATTAAAATAAACATTTCACTGAATCGTATTTATAAGTATGGCAAATAGCTTGGATCATCATCACCCATCATAAAAAAAACACACCATTGAGCTTTGGAATACCTACTGATAAAGATAAATGTATTCATTTTCTATTAATTGGGTTTATTACATCCACACGTTGTGTATTGGCTACCTCATTTAGCAACTGTTGTCAAATATGGTAATACATGGCAGTAATAAAATCATTTTCCAAACAATGTGTGCACTTACAACCAAATTTTGTGTGCTTCACAACAACACACACCAAAATGAGAGTCATGCTGGCATAATTGAAAGAGAGTAAGAGAACTTTATTTAAATGAGATGGTAGAAACTAGAGATCTTTACAATGTCCCTCTCTTTCTGTATGTCTCTTTCTCAATTACATATTCACTTAGTTACCATTACTCTTTCAAGCATCAGAAATATTGTCCTAATAATCACCTTGGTATGTACAAATGTCATTCTGTAAAGTAATACTTCATATGGATGATTAAAATGCTTATATTTTTCTTTGAGCTATTCTATTAAATGCACATATGAGGAAGCTTCCTATTAGTAGCAGCAATGGATCTAAAATCTACGATGAAAAACCCATTCAGTTTTTAGGGCATCTCTAGGAGAGTAGAGATAGTCCATTTTACTATTATAATGCATTGTGCACAAGTTGCAATAGTTTCATAAGCACTTAAGAGTTACTTCAAGCTATGTAGTTGTATTCATTTTCTATGTATGTGAGATGGTGAAAAAAGTAAAATCAGCAAGATTTTCAACTTTTTTTTTAAACAGTTTAAACATTCTTTAAATATATTCTCAACAAACTGGGCTAATCAATTTGTTCTTAAGTCTATAGTCAAATTTTTATTAGACAACTTCATCTTCCATTAGGCCAAAACAGGAGTGATACAGTCAAATACACAGGTAATATATGGAGAAATATTCAGAGTTCTTAGAATATCATTTTTGAACACACTTGCCTTTGATTCTGGTTCTGTTACCCAAATTTCATTCTTTGAAATTTTTTCCATGCTGTACAATATCTGGAAGAGAAAAATTATATTCCAGTAACAAGTATCCTTTTTATATCAAGTGCATCATGCAATTGGAATAGAAGAGATTAAAAAAAAACTGTCAGAAGGTCATTTGTCCATAGCATGGACAATGCAGGTATTTGTCTTGGGAAATTCAGTCAGGTATCAAAATAGAATCACAGTAACTTGGTATATATAGGGACACGGTGGTGGCTCAGTGGCTAAGATGCTGAGTTTGTTGATTGAAAGGTTGGCAGTTTAGCGGTTCAAATCGCTAGTGCCACATAATGGGTGAGCTCCCATTACTTGTCCCAGCTTCTGCCAACCTAGCAGTTCAAAAGCATGTAAAAAATGCAAGCAGAAAAATAGGGACCACCTTTGGTGGGAAGGTAACAGCGTTCCGTGCGCCTTTGGTGTTTAGTCATGCTGGCCACATGACCACGGAGACGTCTTCGGACAGCGCTGGCTCTTCGGCTTTGAAACAGAGATGAGCACCGTCCCCTAGAGTTGGGAACGGCTAGCACATATGTGCGAGGGGAACCTTTACCTTTTAGCTTGGTATATATTTCATTGTTCTTTGGTCGTTCTTTGGTGCAACAATATTGAAAATATCAATGCCAAGTTCCCAGATCATCTTTCAAATAAAACTAGTTTATTTGGGTATTTCATGAAGGTGGCCAATAGCAGCGATTCTGTTTACCTCTCTAGCAGCTCTTTCTCCAGCCTGCACAGCTCCTTCCATATAGCCACTCCACTGGGTTGCTGTCTCAGTGCCAGCAAAGTAGATTCTACCAGCTGGCTCACGTATTATTCTTTAAAGAAAATACATACAAATAGAATAGAGAGATAGTAATTCCACTTGTAGCTAATATATTTGTATGAACAAAAAGAGGCACTATCCTACATTTTCTGTGAACTTTGTAAAGTTTCATTTCAAGGAATGCAAACATTTTGCAACATCCTTCTTTGTGTGGTTCATTTTTTTGTGTGCTTTTCACACACTTAACCAAACTGTATACCAAATATGGCAGTGTTTAAGGAGTAGAAGGAAAGTGATACATCTTTGCCATCCATTTGTTTAACCATGCTGCTACTTGCACAAGTAATAAGACTTTTACCACAACTCAATTCTGTTATGAATAAACTTTTAATCCCAGCTGCCCCTGGGATGCCAGCACTATTGAATACCTGAAGGGTAAATGTAGCCCAACTCCATTTGGAAGAGAGTGAAGCTTTCTATTTACCGTATTTTCCGGCGTATAAGATGACTTTTTAACACATGAAAATCTTCTCAAAAGTCGGGGGTCATCTTATACGCCGGCTGTCGTTCTCCTGTAACCAGGCAGACCAGCCCGAAAGGCTCTGACGAGCCAAGCTCTGACCATCCCAGCTGAGTTGCCTGCTAATCAGGCAACTCAGCTTGGATCGCCAGAGCCATGTAAAAGAAAAAAAGTTTTCCCCCTCCAGCTTGCTTACCTTAGCTGCTAGTCGCAATGCTTGCCTTGCTTCGCTTGCCTGAATCCATTCCATCAGCAAGCAACTCCCTGCCTGCAATCAAGCAGGCAGGGAGTTTTGGACTTCAACTCCCAGAATTCCTCAGCCAGCAAAGGAAAGCTGGCTGAGGAATTCTGGGAGTTGAAGTATACAAGTCTTAAAGTTGCCAAGGTTGGAGACCCCTGTTCTATTGGGTAAGTTTTTTTCCCCTTTGGGAGCTTTAAAAAAAATAGTTAATTGGGGTTTTTTTAGTTGTTCTTTTTTAGACCTAGCCATTTAAAGTTTAGGAAGTTTTAAATTTAGCTTTCATATAAAAATTAAAATAAAATAAAATAAAATAATATTTGTGCAGCTTTCTGAATTTAGTGTGTTTCTGTAGTGTTTCACTCTAACTACACAAACACACAAAATCTCACAAAGCTGTATGTGGAATTTTGTGTGTGTAAAGTGTGAAAGTTGAATTTTTGGGCTTTTTGTGGCTGTGTGAGGTTCCTGCTTATTGCAGGGGGCATTTTGGGTCTAGCACAGCTGCTTTTACATTGTGGGTGAGCCAGTTGATGTTTTTTAATTTTTATTTGGTGTGCGTTGGAAGAGGGGTAGTCTTATATGGCGAGTATAGCCCAAACCCTATATTTTAACAGGAAAAGTCTGGGGTCGTTTTATATGCCCAATCATCTTATACGCCGGAAAATACGGTAACTTCCTTCCTTCCCATCTTTATTTTCCCAGAATAGCAAATATGCTACCCTGAGACATTACCACTTGAACAGTTTCCACATAATTCCAAGATCATATCTGCAATTAATAATCTGTAATTAAGCCCTGATTTTACATTTGACTTTCTTCTATTCAACAGTACTAAAGTCAAAGACACAAGCTGCAACTTTATTATTGCCAAATATAGGTTTATATTTTTTATAAACCTTTCTTTCAAATATGAGATTAGCTCATTGTTCTGGTACTTTGTCAAATATCCAATAATGTGGGGAACAATGCCAAGAAACAAGAACATTATTACTTTGTTTTACCTTCCATATTGGGACATAATGCCTGGTGGAAAATATGCTGTATAACAGCCTCCAGAATATTGTTCTGTACACCAATTCTTTTCTTCATAATGCACTGGCTGTAAGAATAAACCAAGATGAGAAATAAAGCAAACTTTCAAAAAGATGTTGGCAGGATTAAAATTGGGATTATTAAATATTGATTACATAGAAGCAGATTCATATCAACTGAAAAGTATTAGTTAAACTTCATAGGCTGCTTGCTGATAGAATTTATCTGAACAATTTGGGTCAGTTAGATGTCATGTTTCCTGGCTACTGAATAAACAAAAGCTTTATTCCCCCCCCCCCCGCAAGAATTGGAACATAATGTTTATTGTTTTAACTTTTTAATTAAGCGAATCTGTAATTTTTCAGAACTCACACTCTTTTCACATATTATACTCCTATGGTGAGGAATAAGAAGTTATATTCAATAAATTCAGCAAGTGTTATTTTCCTCATTAGGGTATTTTGATTTTGAAAACAGATTATCAACGAACAACTTAATCTGTTGTAATCTGAAACCATATTTATTTTAAAAGTAAGCTAGTCTTGTTCAGTGAGTTCAAAAAGAGTAAATAATTCTAGTGAGTTCCCATAAATGTGAGGAATTGTAGACAGGGAGTAAGTAACAAAAGAGAAAGTAGACATGAACAAGCAAGAAAAAGAGGACGCATTTATTGGCACTTTATCTTGTAAATACCAAAATAGCCCAAGTTCCAAGAAAGAACTATTTCAAATAATTCAAAGAGACTCCATCATAATGAAATCATTGTAAATGAGATTGGAAATTCTTGCAATTTGCAAGATTTGGTATTTGCCCTGCCAGAAAAGATACTTCACTGAAGACTGTTTAATTCTAATATCCTTGTACTTGCTCATCTCCGAGATGCTTTACAACCAGCAAATGGCTTTAGGATTTTACTGCAAAATATATAATCTCAAAGAGAAGGGGCAGAGATTTATGGAACAATGAGGAGGAGTGCTATGGACAGAATGTAATTTTGGTGCAATTCATAGCTTTGGAAATGGCATGAATATTACATTTGTTCAACAATATAGTATTGTCCCATATTCTTAAAAGTTTTAAATATTGTAAAATCCAGGAAAGTTGCTGTAGGATTTAGCTCCCTTTGGAAAGTAGGCAAACTATATTTGATTTGTTCATCAATCTTTATAGAATATGATGATTCACCCCGATTAACTTAGTCAATTTTTGCATAGAATACTATGAAACCATGAATCCAAAACAATATCAGGGACAATCAAGAAGCAGTTTGAACCCAAACCTTATCAGGGCATTTTTGACTCAGCCTACTACTCTCTAATCAGCATTTCATGTGAGATGCAGTCAACTAAGGAAGTTGACAACTTAGCGAATCAAACTTCCAGGAAATGAGATGGAGGTGTATAATGATGGAAAACATAAGGCGCTACATTACAAAATGTGCTGCTGAAGCCCAGTAACAAAGAAAATGCCTCCCAAACACCTTGGGGCTATGTTGTGCAATGGGGAAGGAACAGTTTATATAACCAAGTTTGGCACAATCCTTCCTAGGGTAGGATTGGAGGAAATGAACAGAGCTTGCATATTTTCCAAAATTACAGCCCTTCACATAGCTCGCATGATTATATACTGCTATGTCTAGGGACAGAGCTATGAAAAAGCTAGTGGCTGACTTAAATGTGCTGTATGAATCCAGTCAATGGATGCAAAAAGAAATAGCAAAATGATCAGATAGCTCTCCAAGCTCAAATGCTATCTCCAATGGCTACCTCTCATTTTCAGCAGCCTAGCCAAAGCTCACAATTTTTTGTCAAACTCCTGTCTCTAAGACATTCTAGACACCACACTACTTTGGTTAAGCCCTGACTTTTTGTTCTAAGTAGGCTTAGTCAATTATCAAAACCTCATAATAAAAAGTTATTCTTTCTGGCTGTCCCAAAGAACCAGTACTTCATTTTTTTGGTCTGCAGCATTAACTTCAAATCCTTCCCCCACTTCTCTATCAGCCCACATCTTCTATTGTGTATATGATGCTTGAGAAAAACATTGCTGCATTACTAGTTCAGGATTTTATTCAAAAGGCTGTATTAAATAGTTTAAATATATTAGGAGCATGCATCCTAAAAATTCATATGGTCTGACCACAATATTGTAACAATCAATACTCCACAAACTTTATATATGTTCTTCTTCCTTACATGTAAAGCTTCTTCTGATCCTAGCACTTTAGCGTACAATTCAGAGATTTTTTTCTTTCTGCGGGAAGAATGAAATGTTTAAACTAACCTAAATTCATAATTAGCTTTTAAACTAACAGTACAAGGCATTCAATTTGGGATTATAGAAATGAGATGAACAAATCATACAGTTAAGCCACAATAGAATACAGTACATAATTCCAGAAATATTTATTCTAAACTACAGCAAAATTCACACATACAAGTAGCACAGTGGTGGGTTTCAAATTTTTTTACTACCAGTTCTGTGGGTATGGCTTAGTGGGCATGGCACGGGAAGGATACTGTAAAATCTCCATTCCCACCCCACTCCATGGGAAGGTTACTGCAAAATCCCCATTTCCTCCCAATCAGCTGGGATTCAGGAGGCAGCGAATAGATGGGGGCGGGGTCAGTCAGAGGTGGTATTTACCGGTTCTCCGAACTACTCAAAATTACTGCTACCGGTTCTCCAGAACTGGTCAGAACCTGCTGAAACCACCTCTGAAGTAGCAGACTTTCTATCATCTTGAGTTGAAGTACTGTTGGGGAGGAGTACATTAGAAACACTTTCATTTTGTCCTCTATCTCTTTATTATAACTCTATGGTTAAGTAGTGAAATTCAGGATTAGGGTTAAGATTAGGGTTAGGATTAAGGTTCTCCAAAAATTTCCCACCATTTTACCTCTTGATCTATTCTGATCCTCTAAGTTTCCTTTTTGGAAACCTGGATTAATAGCTTGTTATGAAAAGTTATTGTCTTGCAAGAAAGGTAGAAAACACTACTTTACTGCTAGATTAACACAGAATTAATTAATCTCAATGAATGAAAAACAAATATTTAAATTAGAAAAATTTCCAAAATCTGTTGATTCTTACCTCTCTTCTTTGCTAATGTTTGCTAGTCTAAAGGCTTTTCTTGTAAGAATAAATCTAAATATAAAAAGAATTTTCCATCAGTGTTACATAAATGAATATAGATCCCCATGGAACACATATGAACAATATTACTGCTCAAAGAAAAAAAATACTGTATCTTGAAAATATCACCAATCTAGTTTTTGCCTGGCACTTATTCAGCTACATATATAGCAGAAAGTTAAATGCTAACCATTGTAGCTGGGGTTCTCAAACAGTATAGTGAGACTCTTCCCCTTTTCCAGGATAATAGACAAATAGTTTATTTGGGCTTGAACACATCAGGTCAAAATGGGTGAGAAGAGAAGAATCAATTCAACATCCATGGTAGAAGGCATCCTTCAGTTGCACCATCCCACTTATGCCAAGCAGCTGCAGAAGGATAGTGGGCTGTGCACATTCCTTTGAATAATAGGTATACAACTGTGAGAGTGAAGTGCCACTGCCGGGATCATGGGTCCTTCATCACTGTCTGCAGGTAGAACCTCTTGCCTCACAGTGGAGCAGCCTGGTGGGTTATGGCTACCCCAATGCTTCTTAACTGAACTTCCACCTCATGATCCCATTCTGGGATCATGAGGTGGAAGAACCTCCATTGTGGGATCAAGACCAGTGGAGAACCTCCAGCGGCTTAATCCAGTGGTTTAATCACTGGAGGCAAGTCAGCAAGACTTTGCAAATCATCCCCACCCCCGCCACTAACACCTCTGAGTCACACAGTCACAATCAGCAAAGGAGCGGCAATTTAGCCAGCAAAGGAGAAGAGGAAAAGACTCAGCTGGCCTTCTTCTTTATATCTGTTCTATGGGAGGCCTGTTCTACATACAGTAGCAGTTTTCATGGGGTGCTGACTTTGTGCTGCAAAGCAGGGACATCTCTTTGTGCATGTGTGGGATGCATATGCAATGGGAAGGAAAGAAAGTGGGAGAGTCTACAGGGAAGAAAGTGCATACAAGAAGCAGTGGCCTCAGTATCTGGAGGCAATGGTGTGTCTGATTTACAAAGAGACTTCAGAAGAATACCCACTTGAGGGTCCATGATCTCAGCAGCAGAGACTTGTAAGAAGGTGCTACTATTTGGCATGGGGTTTAAAATGATGGTGTTCATTCTGAAAGGACTGTAACATTAGCATATGTATTTTCCCCACTTCCTATGGCATTGATACAAAGACAGATATTTGGAAGCTCCTGTATCAATTTCAGTTAAATATAGCCTATCATGGCCTCAACATCCAATGCACAGTAGCTTAATTATAGTTTGGAACAAGGAAGGTTCAAACCATGAATTATGATGTTGAGTAGTGTCAATAAACCACAATTAAGATTTAGAGTATAATAAAACATCTTTAGAGTTCCTAATCAAGGATAGAAGGAAAGCAAGTGATTAATCTTCTCTATAGGGAAAAAACTAATAAATGCCACAGTAATGTCATGGCATAACATCATTTTGCAGCATGACATGAAATATATATTCATTTCCCCAGCAATGTTAGGAATGGAAGTAGAGAACTTTCTCGCAGGCAGCAGAACAGCTGTTGTATGTTTTATGTAGAGTTCAATGAGTCCAACAAGTGGTAAAAGCTAATATTACTGAAGGAAAAAAGACAGAACTGAGAACATGTATGTGGGAACTGAAATGATATAAATCTGATTTTTTTTTTAAAAAAATCAAGATTCTTTCAAGTTTTGTAGGACTCACAGCTATAAACAAATTTTCAATACAACTTTATTCATATTTGGTAGCCAAACACATAAATCCTGGATTTCTTACCCCATAAGAGCAGGTATGGATCCATCTGGTTTAGTATCATCTAACGTTACTGAAATGGGAGCATCATCATCCAGAATAATTGTGCAACCACAGAAACCTGATAGAAAAATAAAAGGAGGATAACCAACACAAAATTTCAATCCAGAGCATAATTTCTTGGTAAGCATTTTCAGTGGTCCTTTGCAAAGTTTTATTTTCCTTCTTAGCAAATAAACATTTAGAGCCATTCTGCCAAATAACCTTCCAAGCGATTTGTGAAAGCAAATGGGGGTCATTAATCTGATGAAATATAACTAGAACTTATACTGTAATTCATTACATCTTGTGTAGGGAAAGAGTATATCAATGCTGATATTTGTAACTCATCCACAAACCAAGTCAGGCCTATGTAAAATAATCTCTGTTTATTAGATGTACATTATAGTTTGTCAGATGTTTTGGTGATTAATCTCCTCTACCATTTTTTGCAACAAAACCCATTTTTATGACTGTTCATATTATGTGGAGTTTGATCGGAAGGTATTAAAATATTCTTACTGTCATAAAATAGATTCCATACATACCCAACTTCCTCCAGAAGGCTTCTTTGTAGTACATCATGCATTTAATGACAGAACCCATCGGGAGGCGCTGGATTAATTGGTTTCTTATTGTTGGCAGTTCCGGAGTGAAATGAATCTTTCCAGTCAATATCGGTGGAATGGCACTAATGACATACTTGCCCTGTTAAATACAACAAAGGCAAACCTTTGACACATTTTGAAAATCATTTCTATATTTCAATTTATTTTGAACCTTTTCAAAGTCTATAGAGTTTGTAAAGGACTTTAAAACAATGAAAATAAAATTGCAATTCTAAGCTCCTCCTCTTTCTCTTTCTCCTCCCCCCTCCTCCTCCACAGCCCACACTCATTCTGTATTTAAAAAAAAAAAATCCCAACCACTTTCGTATTAAAAAAAAATAAATCCTGTATCAGGCAATGATCTCATATACTTTCATCCTTTCCTTTCTCAGTCTATCTTTCCTAAAACAAAGCCTCAAGTACCAACCAAATTCATTTATTCCTTTAAGTAAATTTATAAAGCTGCAACTCACTTTCAGTGGCTTCGGTGGCTTACAAAGATAAAAACCCAATATAAAAAACAATAGCAGCAGTGACCCCCTACCTCCCTAGTAACAACAGTTAATCAAATAAGCCATTGGATGGGCTCCATCCCATTTTCCGTTCCCCAGGCCTATTAGCAAAGCCAGACCTCACTTGTTAAAGTGAGGACCAATCTTATCTCTGCAGGGATAACAGAATAACAGAGCTGGAAGGGACCTTGTAGGTCATCTAGTTCAACCCCCCATCCAAGCAGGAGACCCTACACCAGTGATGGCTAACCTTTTTGCCATCGCGTGGCAAAAGCGGGGGGAGCACGTGTGTGTGTGTCACACATGAGTGTGCCCACATCCATAATTCAATGCCCCCACACCATGCCCCCCCTGCATGCGTGCATGACCCCCATGTGCTCCCCCACCCATACAGACATGACCCCCCGCACCCTAAAGCCCCTGGAGGCCGGAAATGGCCCATTTCCAGACTTCCGATGGGCTCCGTAGGTCCATTTTTCACTCTCCCAGGCTGCAGAATTTTCCTGGAGCCTGGGGAGGGCGAAAACGGCCTCTCCCACCCCCCCGGAGGCCCTCCGGAGGTTGAAAACACCCTCTTGGGAGGGGAGGGGCAGCATGGGCGGGGCCAGACAAAAATCGGCTGGTGCACGCATGCACACTGGAGCAGAGCTAGGGCAATGGCTCGTGTGCCCGCAGATATGGCTCCATCTGCCACCTTTGGCATGCATGCCATATGTTCGCCATCACGGCCCTACACCATTTCTGACAGATGGCAGTCCAGTCTCTTCTTGAAAGCTTCCAGCGATGAAGCTCCCACAACTTCTGAAGGCAAGTTGTTCCATTGGTTGATTGTTCTCACTATCAGAAAATATCTCATTTCTAGGTTGAATCTTTCCTTGATCAGTTTCCATCCATTATTCCTTGTCTGGCCTTCAGGTGCTTTGGAAAATAGCTAGACCCCCTCCTCTATGTGGCAGCCCCTCAAGTACTGGAACACTGCTTAGTTTTTCTTGCAGACATTTCATTACCCAAACTAGGTAACATCATCAGAGCTAGTAAGAAGAGCGGTTTGTTCTCAGTTTATAACCTAGTGGCTTGCCCTATCAGTATTGGTGGGAGTGGTCTTAGAAATTTTTTGGTTGGGCTGTTTATTGTTAACTTGTTTGGCAGTTTCTTGACTGGGGTATTGTTTATTTGATTGTTGGTCTGATGTTATTCTTGGAGTTAATCTATGCTCATCTGGGTGCTGATTGATGGTGGAGAGGTGCTTGAGTCTTTTTGTTCCCTTTTTGGCTAGTTGATTGCCTCTTCTGCATAGTTTGTTTGTTTTTTTGCATAAATGGCTTCTAGAAACACTCTGACAAATTAGCCATCAATAGATACATAGACATAAACAATACCTATAGATAATGCAAAAGTGACAATCAACTAGCCAAAAAGGGATCAACCAAGCTCAGAGAGTAACAAGGATCCCCCATATTACAGCTTTCTGGATATATTTATTAAAGCTTTCATTAATGCAATATTTATACTAGTGTAGAATGAAAGCTACAACTACTGTACTGATAATCCAGTGATGGTGAAATGTCAGAAGCCAATTACAATATCACAAAATCTCTCATATATATATCAATAAAAGCAACTTGAAAAGTATCTTGAGTAATGTGAAATGCAGAGCAACATACAATAATGGGGCCAATTACATTGGGCTAAAAGCTGCATCAAGCATGTTCTTGTTTACATGCCTATGATGCATTTATGCTATTCAATTACCTTATATATCTCATGGTTCAGTGTCTTCACAATGATGTCATCACCTGACTGGTCAATATGGACTACAGGACTCTTGAGCTTAACTTTATCTTTGAGTAGTTCCATTATCTTTTCTGTAATTTGTCCAGAACCTCCGATAAATTTTCTCTCCTAGGAACAACAAAGATATCAGCAAAATAAGGACACAGTGTTGAGGCATATAACTGGTACAATTTAGCTGAGAGTAGGATATCCATTAAATAAGATTTTCAAATAATCATTTTAAGGGACTGGACCGCAAAATATAATTCTCTAGTCCAGTGGTGTCAAACTCAATTTCATCAAGGCTGTGGTTGTCCTGGGGGGGGGGGGGGGGGGCTGATTGGCTGGGTGTGGCCAATTGGCTGGGCATGGCCAGCTTGATGCCATTCCCCAAACTGCTGGCATGTTTCTTGTTTGCACTGATTAGACCAGGCCAAAACCACGCTGGCCTGATGTTTCCTCTTCGCATTGGGTAGACTGGGCCGAAGTGACGCAGGCCGACCCCTTAAATTTTCCAGGACGGCCTCACGGGCTGGATCTGACCACATCACGGGCCATATCTGGCCCGCGGACCTTGTGTTTGACACCCCTGCTCTAGCCTATACTAGAGGAATTACAACAAAGAAGTTCTTATATTTTATCTTTGCTTTTATTTGGATATGATTGTTTTTGATATTTTAATACCACTTAGAGTCCTTAGGTGGAGTAGAGAGAAGTATGGTTGGCAAGTAAATAAATATGGAATGGGATATGGGATGAAAAGATATCTATTTAAACCTATAAGGGTGATGAGCTATTAAATTTGTTTATACTTGTGATGAAGATTGGAGATCACTTCGTATATTTCTTTATTATATGGTATTATTTCTCTTTCTTTTCTTTCTCCCCCCCCGTATTTTCTATTCTTTCTTTCCATTCTATTTTCTAGCTCCACATTTCGTTTGCATTAGTTTTTTTTTAAAAAAATAAATTTTATTAATTTTTTCAAATTACAATCAACACAAAACAGAAACATTATTTATACATACAAACAAAAACCATACATTCCCCTCCCTCCCTCCCCCATTCATAACACTAAACATTAAAAAAAACACACGTCTATCCCGGCAGATATTGTTCCTGCCCTCATTAGTAAATAATTATGCCCACAACACAGAATAAGGTAAGTAATCCCCAAATGTGATTTTCATACAATTATCTTTCAATTTACATAAATATATCTCTCTTCATATTAACATAGACCCTCACTTCATCTCAATTCTTTTATTCAACCACCGATATTAACTGTCCCAACTTTGAAAAAATTCAGAATCCTCTTTTTCTTTCAACATATACGTCATTCTATCCGTCTCAGCGCACTCTAATACTTTGTTTATAATTTGGGCACTAGTTGGTATCTCTTTTCTTTTCCACTGTTGGGCAAACACTATTCTAGCTGTGACTAAAATATGTAGACTGAGATACCATTTTTTCTTGCTCAGCCCCTCTGGGCAAATACCTAGTAAATATATCTCAGGTTTCCATTGGAGGTCCACATTAGTAATGTGGCACCTTGTTTGTGGGGTGCCACAGGGGTCGGTCCTCTCACCCCTTCTGTTCAACATTTATGTGAAGTCGCTGGGCAAGATCATCCGTGGTTTTGGGGTGGAATTCCATCAGTACGCTGACGATACTCAGCTGTACATCTCCACCCCAGGCCATCCCAACGATGCCTTGAAGTGATGTTCCGATGCCTAGAGGCTGTGCGGGACTGGATGGGGAGAAAAAGGCTTCGACTCAACCCTTCCAAGACTGAGTGGCTGTGGCTTTGGGCATCCCGATATAGCCAGCTGGTGCCATCGCTGGCTATTGGGGGCGACTTACTGGCCCCCACGGAGAGGGCTCGCAACTTGGGCATCCCCCTGGATGCACGGCTGTATTTAGAAGAGCATATGACGGCCGTGGCCAGGGGGGCTTTTCATCAGGTTCTCCTGATTCACCAGTTGCGTCTCTTTCTAGATCGGGATTCCTTATGCAGTCACTCAGGCACTCCTCACTTCACGCCTGGACTACTGCAATGCTCTCTACATGGCGCTTCCCTTGAGGAGCACCCGGAGGCTCCAACTGGTGCAGAATGCAGCCGGGTGGGGGATTATGGGAGCGATGGGGTGCTCCCATGTGACACCCTCCTGCATGAGCTGCATTGGCTTCCGGTGGTCTTCCGGGTGCGCTTCAAAGTATTGGTTACCACCTTTAAAGCGTTCCATGGCATAGGGTCTGGGTACCTACGGGACCGCCTTCTGCTGCCGATAGCCTCCCACTGGCCAGTTTGCTCCCACAGAGAGGGACTCCTCAGGGTGCCATCAGCCAGGCAATGTCGGCTGGCGACCCCCAGGGAGAGGGCCTTCTCTGTGGCAGCACCTGCTCTCTGGAACGACCTGACCCTGGAGATACGTAGGATACCAGATCTCCGTGCTTTTCGCTGTGCCCTCAAAACTTTTCTATTTCATCAAGCTGGGCTGGCATAATTCCCCCCCCCCTAGATATTTTTAATTGTAAATGGATTTTAGTCGGGAGGTTTTAAATTTTGGGCCAAAATTTGTTTAATTCTTTTAAAATTTAAAATTTTGTATTGGGATGTTTTTTATTCTAGGCTGTGCACTGCCCTGAGTCCAGCAGGAGAAGGGCGGTATAAAAATTTAATAAAATAAATAAATAAAATAAATAATTTCCTTAATCCAATTCTTAATCCTTCTCCAGTATTTCTTTGCCATTATACAAGTCCACCATTGGTGGAAATATGTACCTCTGGTTTTCCCACATTTCCAACATAACTCTGATGCACGCGGAAACATTTTAGCAATTCTTGCTGGTGGGAGGTGCCACCTATACAACATTTTATACGCATTTTCCTTGAAAGACATTGCCATAGTCATTTTAATATTTTCTGCAAATGCCTGTATTTTAAATTCCTGCCTTCGTACTTTAAGTCCTTTAATTGCCGGGTTATTCCTAATTTCACTGAGGAGGGGCTCCAGTGTCAGAATAAATAAAAGTGGGGAGAGCGGACAGCCCTGTCTTGTACCCTACTGATTATGACCTCCTTTGTTTTTTCCCCATTAACTAAAACCCATGCTACCTGGGAAGAATAAATTGTTTGTATCGCCTGTGTAAATTTTTCGCCAAATTCCATTTTACGAAGCTGAGTTAACAAAAATTCCCAACTCACACTGTCAAATGCTTTATAAGCATCTAAAAAGAGAAATGCCATCTGTTTGTCCGGATAGTGTTCATAAAACTCAAGAGCATTTAATATTACTCTCAGATTATCTATGCGGTAAGAAACCATTCTGATCTGTATGTATAAACTGATTTTAAAAAACCTGTAGTCTTTTTGCTAGGATGGATGCAAACAATTTATAATCAGCATTAAGCTAGGCTATTGGTCTGTAATTCGTAATAGAGGTCGTATCGGTCCCTTCCTTAGGAAGGAGAGAGATATACGTCTCTTCCCAAGATTCTGGTATTCGTCCATCATTCAACACTTCATTAAAGACATCGCGCAACTGGTTCCCAATCACTTCCCAAATTACCCTATACACCTCTACAGGCAGTCTGTCTGTTCCAGGGGTTTTACCACTCTTCTGTTTTTTCAGACTTTCCTCTATTTCCCCCTCTGAGATATGTCTGTTTAGCATATCTCTTATCTGATCTGGTACCCCTGGTAAATTCTCTAGGAAACTGAATTGCTTTCGACTGGTATCTTCTCTTTGATACAACTCCTGAAAAAATTCATACGTCATTTCTTTTTTCCCCCCATTACTGGCCACTAAATGGCCCGATTTATCCCTTAACCATTTAATCTTTCTACTTTCTAGTTCCTTTTTCAATCTGCTTGACAACCATCTTCCCGCTTTATTGGCATGTTCAAAGTAATTTTGCTTTGCTCTCCGAATTTTTTGCACTAACTCAGCTTGGTCCAATAAATTCATATGGTGTCTCACCAATCCTCTTGCTTCTTTCGCTATCTTATCTGTTGGATCCTTTTGTAATCTCGTTTCCCATTTCTCCAATCTGTCTGCCCACTCTAGTCTCTCCTGCTTATCTTCCTTCTATTTTTTAGCCATATATTTAATCACAACCCCTCTCACCACTGCCTTAGCCGTGTCCCATATTATTTGTAACGATGTTTCCTCTCGTCTATTCTCCTGGAAAAAGAGAACCAACTCCTGTTTTAACAGCTCCACAAAATCCTTATCCTTGCATAATTCTGCCCTCATCATCCATCTTCCTCTGCTGTGCTCTCCTTTCCAGGCAAGCACTAAAGGGTTGTGATCTGCCCAATCATTCTCTAAAATTTCAACCTCTCGTACCATTTCTACTAATTCCAACGACATCCATATCATATCAATGTGGGACCATGAGTTATGCCTGTGAGAGAAAAAGGTAAACTGTTCCCTTGTTGGATAAAAGTTCCGCCACATATCCTGTAATCCAAATTCTTCCCTTAATTGATTCCAAGTTACCGGCAATGTCTTCCTACCTTTCTTTTTCACCCCCCCCTTTCCAGATTTGTAATCCTTCTCCCTATCCATTATAGCATTAAAATCCCCATAATACAAATGTGTTCGTATTCTAATTCTACCAATATTTTATATATACCCTTTTATAGAACTTCCTTTGATTACTATTAGGAGCGTAAATACCCACCAGCAAAATACGTCTACCATACATTATTACTTCCACCATTAATAATCTTCCCTCTTCATCAGAGTATATCTTTTTCGATTCTATATAATGTCTTGCGACAAAAAAGCCTTCATTACAGCATTGTAGCTATCTATCCCTTGCGTTCTTTCAGGCAAAAACACCAGTTTCACCAGCTCTTCTCTCATGATGTCACCAACAGCATAACACAAAATTACTGCTAGCCTTACATAATTACTTACATCTGTGTTTTCATCCAAGCACATGGAGTAACAGGCTGCCTTTTGTAAGTCAGAGAGGGGCTTACCATATTTTGCTATGCACAGTGAAATTTGAAAACTGGCAGCTGTCAGATGATTTGTTCTGGAAAGATACAGTAGTTGGAAAAACTAAGAGACTGGGAATGATATTTCCTCAATTTCCCTTCAATAAACTCTTTGTCA